TCCCATAGCGTGATATGAAGTGGTATATAAATGAAACTGCTTTGCTTTAGTCTTCTCCACTGTTGCATATTACATTTTTGGTGTTAACTGCCCTTGAGTTGATCTCAACTAATGGCGACCCTATGGATGAGACGTCTCCAAGACCCTCAGTCCTCCACTGCCTAATTCTTGCAACTCCATACCTGTGACCTCTTTAATAGAGTCCATTCATCTAGCATGTGGCCTACCTCTCTTCCTACTTCCCTCCACCTTTCCCAGCATTATTGCCTTTTCCAATGAGTCTTCCCTTCCCATGATATGTCCAAAGTATGACAGCCTCAGTTTGGTCATCTTAGCTTCTAGGGGAGTTTCTGGCTTGATGTGGTCTAAAACCCATTTGTTTGTCCTTTTGGCTGTCCATAGGATCCTCAACACTCTTCTCCAGCACCACATCTCAAATAAATTGATTTTCTTCCTATCATCTTTTGTTGCTTTTGTTGCTTATATTACATTGCCGATAGCTAATCAGCTGGATCCAGATTTGGGGGTGTGCAACTGTCCTTGGCATAGTGATTTGATCATTGGACTACAACTCTGGAGACCAGGGTTCAAATCCCTGAGCAGCTATGAAAACCCTAGCTGCCCTTAGACAAGTGACATACTCACAGCCTCAGAAATCCCTGTGATAGGTTCACCTTAGGGTTGCCATAAGTTAGAAACAACTGAAAGGCACACAACAACAGCAGCAGTAGCAACAGAAACTGATCAGAGGTACTCCCTGTTTTCTCTTCACTGGAGCATCCCCCTGAAAATGTTATGCAGCAGTCAAAGACATGAGCCTCTATGGAGTCTAGTGTAGTAGAAATCATCAATAATATATAATCTTCGGTGAAGAGAGCATTTTATTACAGAGAATTGCATATCTAAGAAGAAGAAAAAAATGGAACCTGTTACTGCTATTATTACTGGAAGGAGGGGTGTGTGTTCAGAGATGAAGTCAAATCTGAGAGTAGTCATCTGTGAGTAAGGAACTACTAGAGCAGTGGTGGTGAACCTATAGCACGTGTGCCAGAGGGAGCACTCAGAGCCCTCTGTGTAAGCACGCGCGCAGTTGCCCCAGCACAGAGTTCACCAGAGTTCATTACTAGAAATCCAGAGGGACGCAGCACTTTGTGATAAATAAGTGTGTTTTGGATTGCAGTTTGGGCACCCAATCTCTAAAAGATTCCCCATTATTGTGCTAGAGCAAACAAGACAAAGAAGGGACATACCAGGGAACTCAGAACTATTTGTATTTAGTGCTGTTGCACTCTTGTGAGGCGTAGTCAATTGTGCAAGTATGGTTGCATATTTCTCCACTTCCACATCTGAAGAGTTGAGTTGTGGTACAGAGGGGGACTGATCCTTGGAAACTGGATGGAGGCATCTTCTCTATGTGGTACAATTCCAACAAGGAAGGCAGAACATGGGTTTAAGGCACTGTGTATTTATATATGACCTGCCATTTCCACAGCTGAGTTTCTTGCTTGCAAAGGAGAAGATGAAACATTCTGCTCTTTCCAACTCAGATTCATTTTCTTGTTCATCAGAAATGTTTAATTAACAGTGGTTCAGATAGGCCTTTCCCCATTTTCTGGAATAAAGGAGATGAGAGATGGAAGTGAACTGAAGGGTGACCTCCTGTCTGAAGCAGATGGCAGGGCTGTAGCTTGGACAAACATTTAACTGCATAACCACCACAATGTTAGTTTGATTATAGGCAAGGTGAGGCAGCTCAATCTTTTTTTTTTTTTCAGGGCAATAAAGGTATTCATGTAGACATTTCAAGAGACTAATCTGCATCTGCCACAGTTCTCAGTGGAAACAGCTCCCATATCTTTAGTTTGGATGACAGCACTAAGAACAAATCCAAAGCTATCTATATGATCCTATACAATCTACTAGATTCAGGTGTTATATCTGAAGAAGGTTCTCCCAGTCTAGTACACTGCAGATATGTTTGACAACAGTATTCTGGCCAATGGTCATGCTGGTGACCGTTGATGGGAGTTGGAATGCGAAACATCTGAAAAGTACCAGGTTGCAAAAGACTGGTACACTAACATATTTAAGAGAAATTGGACCTTGAATGGCAGGATGAGCCTCTTATTTCCCAGCTCCACCATATTCACTGGGAAGATCTATGGGTGTGTCCATTCACTCTTGCTTGAATGCAAGTAGAAGCCTCCATGCAGCAAAGAACAATGCATTTTCATGGTTTGAAAGCTGTGTGAAGGATTTTATTTATTCCAAGCAAATGTAAGTAGAAGCCCATGCAGACCTCCCTGTTCATGAAAAGGAGATCAGGGATTTGAAAAGCATTCAAAAGGAAGCTAGGCATGAAAAGAGCACATATGGCCCTACCTCTTATTCTTCTCATAACCTGTTCAGATATAAAGCCTGAACATTATGTTAGATCTTAAACTTGGCTTACATTCATGCTCAGCAGTAAACACACTGAGTAATGTTGAAACAAGTTATTGTCAATTCTTTCATATCCAGTACGATTTTTAACACCTTTGACTGATGAAGAAGCGAGTGGAGTTTTGAAGGATTGCATGATGTATTTTGTGCTGTTTAGTTGTCCCAATAAAGACATCATTGTTTTGCGGCTTTTTGGCTTTTGTTATATTTTGCTGCACAGCTGATATGTCTACCTCTGAATATGACAAAAGGACTGAAAAGCAAATGCTATGAAACAATAAACAATACATTATGGAGCATATGTACATGCAGGAAAAACATGTTCAGAAAGTAGCAACAATTTTGGCATATAAGATGGTTTTGTTTCTTTTATTAGTTACTTACAGTACACTGTGTCAGTGTAGGATCTTGACCAGTGAATATTATGGCAATCTGTGGATATAACCTTTCAAAAAATAATTATAAAAACAAGGTAACTAAATACTTGGCAGAAAAAAACTTTTTAGCTCTTTCTTTCTTTCTTTCTTTCTTTCTTTCTTTCTTTCTTTCTTTCTCTGTCTCTGTCTCTCTCTCACACACACATACACACATCTAAGTATACACAATAATAATAAAAACTTGATATATCCAACCTGGGCTTCTTTATTCTTCTCTGTGGTAAAGCCAAGAGGGGAACATAGCAAATTCTTAAGACCACATATTTAGTTAAACTATGATGGTCTAAATGATATTTTATGGAAGATAAACCTAACAGCCAGCCATCTTTTAAGAGCTGACAATGGCAAATACCTCTCCAGGGGCCTTTCTGAGGAACCATCCCTTCGATCTTCTTAGCTTCCGCCATCTAAGCCTTTAGAGTATCCATTATACCCCCTCCCTGAGGAAGAGTGAAGAAAGATTTATAACCTCCCCATGCTTTCAGTAGAAACGTTCTTTGAATAAAAGTAAGATGGCCGAAATCTTAGTTAGAGTGAAAGAGATACAAAGTGCCCACACAAAAAGATTAAGAAAACATTACAATCTTACTAGGACCTAGATTATTTCTAAAAGACAAAGATGACATACTCAGACCTGACCTCAGCATGTCCCAAATGAAACCCATCTCCCTGAAAGGACTCATCCGAGCTGGTCCCATGTTTTTTAAACTATTATAACTAACTGCATCCCATTTAAGTGAAAGTAAAAGTACTGGGGTGGGTCCTGTGATCTCCCTCCAAATGTCCCCATCCCTGACCTCCAGTTGTTCTAAGAGGCAAGATCATTTAGGGAAAGACTTTAGACATTGCAGTTCTGTGTCTTGTGAATTCTTTGTTCTGCTATCGGTCTCTTGAATACAGGAAACAGTGGTACACTTTTTATTACTATGACTCTCTTTCCATCTACATGCAGATGTCAAACACCCCCCCCATGTAGTACATGAAAAAAATATTTTCTTTGTGTAGTATGCTGGTTTTCATTTGCCTCCTATCGATAGCACCTCTCTCATACACATAGACTGCATGTGCCACATGAGCCCTCTGCCTTAATGCTGAGCTTTCATGATCTCTGTCTCCTCTCTTCACTTCCCTCCCTACCACATTAGAGAAACTATTTTGTGGTTGCTCGGGGCATGCACCCACTGCTTCAAGGATTAAACATATGGAAAAGCTGAGCAGTAGATACATAAAAAAAGAGAAGCCATTTTTCACTATGCCTGATGTCGGGGGAAAGAAGGCATAACAGGGGAACAAGTAAAGGTGGCTGTAGGACGTTTCCTGAAGTCTTGTCTTCCTCCTTTCCTATCTCCTGAACCATGTAGGTTGGCCTCTGTGTGCCTCAAGCTGGGAAGAGTTTGCTGGATTGCTTTTTTTTTTTTTTTACTGTGAAATCCCTCTCCCCTTCCTCCCACCTCCACAGCACAGGCTCCCTAGAAAACTATCCAAAGCAATGGCCCAGAGTGGGCCACTGGGAGAGGCAAGGAAGGGGCTCATCTAAGAAACCCAGCAAACTTCACTTGGCTTGAGAAGCACAGAGGTGGCTGTGGGGCCTTTTCAGCAGCCTCTGCTTCTTCCTTCCTTCTCTTCAAGCCAGCCATGCTGACCTCTGTTGGGTATATGGTGGCTAAGGGGCATGCACCTTCTGCATCAACGATGGAACTTATGGAGAAGCTGAGCAGGAAATGGATTAAAAAAGAGAAAACCTCATTTTTGTTATGGCAGAGGTTGGAGGAAAGCATTATGGAGGAAGACATTTAGGGGGGTTGTAGACTGCCAGAAATAGTGCAAATTGAGTCCACTTTTAGGGTTAGGGTTAGTGCTAGGGAATCATGGGAATTTTTTTTCTGAGACATTAAGCCTTCTCTGTCAGAGAGCTCTGGTGCCACAATAAAATACAGTTCCCATGATTCCTTAGCCCTAACCCTAACCCTAAAAGTGGACTGAATTTGCACTATTTCTGGCAGTCTGCAACCCCCCTTAGTATTGTTTTTGTGGGGACCAATTGATCCTTGGTGGTGCACACACACAGAGGCTTGCCCCTCTTTTTCATAATTGATGTACTTTCATGCTGATTTTCCTTGTACTCCTCTTGAGCAACTATCATAATCCCCTAGGGTTCCTGCCTCACAGTTTGAGAACCACTGTTGTAATTCAACAGTTATTTATTAAAATATACATGGACTATTTTGACAACTTAATACTTAAGCCCAGTTACTGTTACAACCATACATCAACTACACCCTGATGACCAAAGTGGAAGCAGTAGACAGGGGTGGTTTTTAAAGTCTCTGCTTGGTATATTAACTGCAGCTTTCCTAGAAAGATCACATGTGACCTCATACTACAGTCACTTTTAGGTAGGATCACAGTATGGTGACATCCTTGAAAGTTGGTTCAGAATCTACAGATAGTTCAAAATATGCCTGTCAAATTTTTGCCAGGAGTTAGGCAATCAGACCATATCTTTATGGTTCTTTATAAACTACCTTTGTGTCCCAGATACTATCTGGGCAACCAGCGAAAGGCTGATTGCTACATAGCTGATAACAAGCAGCTAATGAGCAAGCCACATAGTAGCTTACAGTTCAGCATTTACTTTACTTTAGAAAATACAAGCCTTAAGTCCCACACAGAATTCAGCAATGTCCAAGTCAGGTAAATGGCATCCAGAGTCAGTAAACACAGTCC